CACTTTAAGTTGTGTCAGAAGTACGTAAGGAAAACGTCAGAGCTCTTTATTTTTCTTCTTTCCGTTGTTACAGTGGAACATCCTCCATATCTCACGCATTTAACGTTACAGGCGCTAAAAGTTGTGGCTTTGGGAATGCTCTTCACCCATTCTGCGTGTCTGATGTCGAATTCTACTGACATCTGGTCCTGCATCATACGGCGCGGTCTGTGTCTATATAAACTGAATGATCTTGGAAGCAGAGTATGCCGTGTTCTGATGGGGTACCTAAAAGTAGATCATGCAGCCTGAAAACACGTGTGGTCCAAGGTGCTTCTTTCTGCATAATCATTTCTGCGTTATATTTGGGGAGCACCCACTTAGGAACATTAGCTTTTGTTTCATATGGGCGAGAAGCTTGGTATTTCACCCTTAGAGAAGTGAATATATTGGAAGAGGCTGAGAAAATAACAGGATGATAGTGAAAATTGCACTGTGGGCTTCTTTGTTAGTATTCTCATTAACAAGTGGATGAGGATGGCAGGGCATGTAGCAGACATGGGAAAGATATGAAATACATACAAAATTTTGATCGGAAACCCTGAAGAGAGGGACTAGTCAGGAACTACAGGTATATGTGGGTTTAATATTAAAATAGATCTTGTAAGATTTTAGGTTTTCACGGCGGTACCTATGAAGGATGCCGTCTTCTGGAATGTGGCACCGTGTAGATATTTTATTAACCGACGTTTCGGAGGAACGCATCACCTCCATCTTCAGGGTATGAGAAATCCGCGAGCGATGAACCAGCGTAAGCAGGTGTCTGTAGACTTGTACCCTGAAGATGGAGGCGATACATTCCTCTGAAATGTCTGTTAACAAAATGCGTATCTACACGACACCACATCCCAGAAGACGGCATACTTCAGAATAGATCTTAAGGCGCGTCCACATTACTCGTGCTCGTGCGTCAGAAGCTTACTGCTGCCGGAAAATCAGGATCTGGAGCTGACGAAGTGGACTCCCAAACTGGTTTGCATACAAAGCCTTCGCATTTCTTCACAACAGATATCAGCTGCAGATCCTGATTTTCCGGCAGGAGTAGGCTTCTGACGCACGAGCACGAGTAATGTGGACGGGCTTTTACAGAAACAGGATATGAGGATGTGAGCTCTAGTCATGTGACAGAGGACAGGGCATAATGGCGTTCTCATTGTAACATAATGAGTTTCAAAAAAGGATTTTTTATTATTAGCTTTCGGACACTGCCGCACGGAATTTGTTTAGTGTTTAGTTGAGAATGGGCTTATAACTTCACTGGGTTATCAGGCGAATATACAAATATCGCATTTAAATTGTCCAGGACGCTTTATTCTCTATCGGAATTCCGTGTTTTATGTTATGTAACCTCTGTTGTGCGGAACGAACCAATTGTAACGCACACATCACCGACTGTTAGTTTCAACTTTTATTGCTACGATAAGCGCTGAGACTCTTTTGGGTGGATGATGGACCCAGTTAGGCCGCCAGGGTGTGTCTCTGTGTAACTCAGTGAGTTATGGATAGATGGATAATAGAAATATTAAGAGGTAAATAGGTTGTAAGCCGGTCACGGTAGCCGAGCGGTCTAAGGCATGTACTATCTTCGCTCGCTCGGAAGCCGGGATCGTGGGTTCGAATCCCACTCAGGGCATAGATGTTTAGTTTGTGTGTGTGCGTTTTTCTGTGTTTGTGTACAGGTAGAGGCCTTGCGACGAGCTGATCACCCGCCCAAGGAGTCCTACCGAATGTCTAAGATCTAGAAAAACCGAAGTGAACGGAGAAGTTCATGGAGGTAGGCCTAGGCCCACTGGGGCTGTAGTGCCAAGGAAAAAAAATAGGTTGTAAGGCTGTGAAAGGAAGTGGCTGATTATGGGTTGAGTGAGCACAAAACGTGAGCAGTAAGATGTTGGTCTAAAGGAGATACAATTAAGGAACCATACCCTTTTGGCTTCAGATCATTAAGTGGAAACACGATGTACAATTTTCGGCAAACATTAAACAAGTTTTGGGAAGAACTAATCGCCTACTTTATTTCGATACTACACAAGCTGCATAGAAGGACGCGTCCAAACAGTTCTTCTATTGTTGCGTGTGTATTCGTTGCCGCGGTAACATTTTTACTGAGCCGTTGTCTACCAGCGATAAGAGGTTACACGTACACACGCACAGACCGATGGGAGGAATTTATAAAGTACGCCATATAGATGGGCCCACGTGCCGTGATACACATACAAAGTTTGATGAAGATCGGTTCAGGAATTCTGAAGTTGATGGTAGGGAGCGGGGGGGGGGGTTACTCAGACATAGCGTGGTGATCTTCCAGGGATTGTTTCTCTTTTTGGATACACTGTACTTTGTAAAGTTAAATCCTTGTAACAGGCCGTGGAGGCCCACAGGCTTGTGAGATGTCGAGGCTACCACATTTTATACACAATCGGCTCGCAGATAGCGGTGAGGTCAGCCTTACGCGCCGGCCGCCCTTTACCCCCCATGAAGATTCCTGGTACTCATTTCTGTTAAAGCAAGGGTCTCCAAACTACGGCCCGCGGGCCACATCCGGCATTTGGATGCCAGTGCTCAGGAAATTAGATGGTTTCAAAATCTGTTTGACTGTGATGCTGCAGATGTCCCAAGTCAAATTCAAATGGAAATTATTGAACTTCAGGAAAATTATCACATTAAAGACAAATACAAGGAAGGAAATTTGATCGAATTTTATAAATTTCTGAACTCTGAGCAATTTCCAAAATTAAAGAAATTTGCTTGTAAATTTATCTCCATTTTTGGGACGACATATCTGTGTGAACATACTTTTTCCCAGATGAAGTACATCAAGTCGAAATACAGGGCAAATTTATCCGATGAACATTTAAAGTCGCTACTTGTGATTAGCGTTTCAAAATTTGAACCTCAATTTAATCAGATTTTAAGAATGCAAAAAGAGTTCAATCATTCACATTAATTCTTTTATTGTAATTTGTGATGAAAATATGAGCATTTGCTGCTACTGTCTGTTGTCATTAATATACGATAATTTATTCTCACGTGCTTTGTATTTAGTTTATGAAATTCTATGCTTTCAATAAAACTCATATACCTAGAGTTATTAATTTCTCATTTTATCCGGCCCGTTGAAAGTGCTGAATTAAGTAATGTGGTCCGCGTTTAGAAACGTTTGGAGACCCCTGTGTTAGAGGGTCAGTCGACCTCAGGGCCATAGTGCGGCTGGAAGGATAAAGTCAATTGAAAAATCCAATGATCTCATCGGGAATCGAACTCGCGACCTTCCGGCTTGTAGCGTAGTGCCTCAGCCAGAGTGAGCTACAATATATAATCCTTGGATAAACATAATTCTGATGGACATTTTAGCCTGAGAAGATGTCTTGAATCGCTTTTAACGCAAGTAGGCTTGCACTAATTACTGGTATGTCCGGTTTACAACGCACGTACCAGCATTTTCCAAATGCCTTCATCGCCATTTTGCATCCCACATTGGCCTCGATGTTCATTTATCCCAGATACAAATCTGCTGTTGACAACCAATCAGCAGTAGCAGTTGTATGCATGAGATCATGAATTATTCATTCATTGTATGTGGTGAAATACACAGCATGTCGACAGATGCCTTCACTACGAGCCATAGACTGTAATTATCTATAAAAATAAGCCTGTGTTTTATGATGTCTTTTTTTAAGTAAGATTTATTTTTGAGAAAATTATTTTTAAATTCTATGTCAGCTTCAAATCAAATGAGGTTTATTGGTTTTACTTTCTCATCAACGTAATATGAACTAATATATGGAGCTGAGCCCTTCTTGAGAAGCCTACTGTTGTGCGGCTACTCAAGAATATATGCTGGTTTGAGAATATAGTATCATTTACTCATGGAGCTGAGCCCTTCTTCAGAAGCCTTCTATTGTGCAGCTACTCAAGAATATATGCTGGTCTGAGAATATAGTATCACTCACTCATGGAGCTGAGCCCTTCTTCAGAAGCCTCCTGTTGTGCAGCTACTCAAGAATATATGCTGGTTTGAGATTATAGTATGAAAGTGGAAAATTCAATCTAAAGGTTGTGACGGATTAATGTGTTTTGAACACCCCTCAGTACGGGGAAGTTATCATTTGTCTGTCTTTTTGTATGTATGGATGTGAGTCTCCCCAACGCCTGAACGATTGGCCTGATTTAGTTGCAGAAGTATTCAGGAGATCATTCACCCAAGGTCGGTGAGTGGCGAATCTGAACATTCCAGCTCCAAAATAGGGGCCCTTCAGATGAGTCCGAAAACACATTTTTTGACGATTTGATTGCATTTCAGTAATTTTTGGAGAATATATCCACGAATGAAACTTCTTAAGTCGTGTTTTTTTTTTTTAAATAACAGTAGCGCTCTAGGGACCCAAACACGAAATATCAGTTTTCTCGAAACGGCCTTTGCCAGGCAGTTCATTGTTATTCAGTATTCAGCAACGAGCAGTGTTCTACCGCGTAAAAATTTATTTCATTCCCAAAGTAATGTACTTGGGGCCGTCGTATATTCTAATGTATATGCAGTGCCTTTGTCCCGACTTTATACCTTATAGTCCAGCTAAGAAAGTAGTATTACAATTTTCTCGTCGGTTTTCCACAATAAGCGGGTTTCTAATGGGAAATGTACATTGTATTAAGATCTGTAACTTTTAGTTGAACCATTTCTTTTTTGATTTGTTGAATTTTTAACAAAATATTGGAAAATAATATCTGGATATGTGGTGGGTTTATGTTCTTAATAATGGATTTGTGTCCTCAGTAAATGAATATCAAAGCCAGTGAGGCATGAAAGTTGCAAGCGGACGAACTCAGAAAATATTTGCGCAGTGCACGAGGAGAATTATGAACTTTACGGGACAGACTTATATTGATGATCTGTTGACACTTCAGAACGTTACAAATGTGATCGGTATGCAATTTTTTGATGAAAATGGTTTTCTATGTTTCAGATTGATGGCGCGCCAGCGGTAGTACAGCCCCTCAGCTCTTCCTCCCAGAAGAGACGAGGAAGAATTCATCCACAATCCTTCACCAACTCCCCTTCCCTTATTCCCTTCTCCGCCCAAAACCCTCTCTCATAACCATAACCATGGACCACAGTGTGAAAGCCATGAACTCTCACCGTAAACTGGCCTTTTCCCGCCTTCTAAACCGCCACCGGTTCGAAAATGACGAGCTGGAGAGTCTGTACCAGCGGTACATCTTCAAACTCCAGCACTCATCCGTGGCAAGTGTCGTGGCGCTGTTCGTGATCCTGACGGGCATCCTGGCTAACCTGAGCCTCGCCTATGCGCAGGCGCCCACTGCGCAGAATATCTACCACAGCCTCCACTGTCTCCTGTTCGCACTGCTCCTTGCCTTTCTCAACACTCGACTGATGCAGGACGCCTACCTCCTCTGGGTGTGCTATGCCATCCTGTTCTTCTGCACCACCTTCTGCGCCGTTGCCATGCCCCTTGGTGAGTGTTCTTTCCCTTCTTGTACATTCTTTATGCCTTACGGTAAGGTAGCGTTATCTTCAACTGCAGCCTTCGCATGTGTTTCCTGATCGAGAATAGGTTCAAGGTATGACTAAATATGTGATAATTGTTTGTCATGCTTTTAGGTATGCTAAAAAGGCCAAATTTTCTTCTGTCTGCTTGTTTTGTGTATTATAATATTAGATGGTAACCTAGTGTACTGTGAGCACTGGTTGCAATTGTAGCTCATGGAGGCTAGACTGTTAGCAAAGGTAAAAGAAAGTAAAGTTGTTCCTATGCTTAACTAATTAAGCACTGCGCCATGAAGGCGTATGGAAGAGTGGCTATACGTATAGATCCACATTTTCTTGACCTCGGCACTAGTTGGAGGTGAGTGGTCAGTTTGACGCCTCAGCCGCTTTACCCCCTGGGAAAGAGTCCTCTCTACCTATTGTATAGGAGGCTGGGTGTGCCCCAGAGCCGGTCTGGAGGACGTGGAGAAGAGAAAATTCTTGACCCTACCGAGACTCGAACTCTGATCCCCCACCCCCCTCAGTCGTTCATTCCGTTGGCAGCCGTTATACCGACTGCGCTATCCCGGCTCCTAGACTGTTGGTAGGAACTATTACTTTCAAATAGATTCTAAAGGGATCTGACGATGGTGTGTAACATCAGAATTACTGGGGTTTTTTGCTATTTCCATCGCCCGCTATTCTAGAGACTAGAAAACACGACGTTTCGGAAACTCGGTCTGTTACCGTCCTCAGGAGAGGGGGAAGACGCCTACTCAGTTGTGTCCCTTAGAAAGGGCTAACCAGTAATGCAGTATAGCTCTTTCTAAGGGACCCAACTGAGTAGGTGTCTTCTCCTCGCCTGAGGACGGTAACAGGCCGAGTTTCCGAATCGTCGTGTTTTCTACTCTCTAGAATAACGGACGATGAAAGAAGTCCAAAAACCCAGTAATTCCTAGCGGCTTTAACCTGTGAGGTAGATATTGCTTCGCTATACCGAGAGACGCAAACATTTCAGAAATTGATTTTGATGTTATTTAACTACGCTGTTCCAGATGAAAATTTATACATTATTCACAGAATTGACAATGTTCTATGTGTCGAAGTATTATGCTCCCATATTCGTAAACATAACACACAGTAGAATGGAAAAAAAATAAGAAACGAAAATGACACAGCATTTGCGTTAATGAAGTTCCTCTTGTAATGCTGTGCACATTCGAGCATTTCTGATGTTGAGCTTCAGTGGCTACCGTAAATCTGTGCTTTGGTACTCAACATTTTCTTCTTGTCCAGAGGTTTCAGTAAAATTTAATTGTTTATTTACCCTGCGCCAAAGTCATGGGACATTACATGCTGGAGCCTACGAAATAGGTCTACCTCTCCCCTTTCAACAATCTGGAAAATATTTCATTCATAACAACTCGAACAAAGTTGCAAAAATGGTTCAGGTACTGTCGTCTTAAATATCTTCGGCTTCCTCTTCTTTTGCTTGTGGCTAAACGAATTTTCCGAGCACATCAGTGCACATGTTCCAGGGTATGGTAGTCTCAGAAGGGTATAAATGTGGGCCGAAATGGAATGTCTCGATATCTGTCACATTGCACTGAATCTTTCTAATGCAAATTCTGATGTATCGCTTTGGGTTTTGTTTCGTTCAAATACGTGTCGTGGCTGCAACAATGTGACATTTCTTGCACAAGGAGCATAGTTTATGGCCACTATATGGTATTGAATGCGGTGAGAACATAAAAGTTTGAGTGAAGTGTGGCTAATGTTAGGAAGGAGACCGCGGCTTATTCGAAAACAGGCTTGGTATCCCAGCATTTGCTTGGAGAGACTGAAGAATACCACGAAATATCATAATCAGGGCAGTGGTAATCGGACAAGCTGTCAAAAACTCGAATTAGATACATCTATAATGATAGTGCAATAAAAGATCGCTTCTTTGGTGCTTGCTTGGTAAGACTGACATTGCCCTATAGGAAGGAAAAGTGTGGCCCGCGAAAAATCCAATCTGACCGGCAAAATTCAGTTGTTAATAATGTGACTCTGGTTATGTTTTTAGTTTCCATAAATAAGGCAAAAAATCACAAAATAAAGCAAAAATAGAATCTAAATATACGCTTGAGTTCCGGGTTTTGAGTCTGTATTACTCGAATTAATCTTCACTGTTTTCATATTTTGTACTTACAGCGGGGGTTGAAAGAAGGCGAGAGGACCCGCGCAGAATTCTTTTAGTACGTAACTTCTTGGCTGCACCAATCAGATGTTGGGGCCATCTGTCTAATTTAATTATTAATAATGAACATTTTTAGCAATTCTGTGGTCGTTGAAAATGATTGACGAACGTCATGAAGCAGAGACCATGAGAAACGGATATTCGCAGCCCGTCGCTCTGCTAGTCAGAAGATTCAGACCCTTTTATGGAACACGAAGGTTCATTGCCGTGTTCCAAGAGCCTGCCACTGGACTCTAACTGGAGACAAATTAATCTATTCAACACCCATCCATTTTAATATTACCTTCCCGTCCAGACTTACGCCTCCCGAATGATATCTTTCATTCCAGATTTTCCACTGAAACGTATGATATTCTGATCTGTCATGAGGTCTTCATGCCCCAGTCATTGACCCCTTCCTGAATTTATCACCCTTATAACGTATATCAGACTGATGCAGGAAGAGGCTGTTTGTTACTTCAGTGCACTAAGTTGTATCCCAGGGTAGTGAACTAAATATTGAACCCTTCTGTCTGATGGAGGCTGCAGTAAACTGGTTCGGGAACTTACATGATATGGTTGTGTGTGCTTGTATGCAGGTCCAGAAGATCCCACCGCAGGTGGAGGGGGGATGGGAGTCGAGACGCGGCGTGTGCTGGCAGAGGGCGTGTGGCAGGTGGTTTTTGTCGTGTTCCTGGCATACGCCATGATGCCTCTAAAGACGTGGGTGGCTGCTGTGTTCGGAGTGTTCCTGCCAGTGGTGCACGTTATTGTGGCAGCCATCTTTGCAAAGGAATTCCCATCTCTTACTTGGCAACAGGTATGTGTTCGCCGCCAGAAATGCCAGTTAATACCTGTCATTCTTCTTCGAGATTTAGTACTTGGAATTACTGGTGTTAATGCGACAGACATTGTTTATTGGGAACCGACGCAACTGAACGTCGTTCAGGTGGTTAGCATACCTGTTTCGTACTCCGGAGTTCTCGGTCTCGGATGTAGGGTTAGAGACTGGCTGTCCTGACGGAGGAGTTTCAAGGTTGCCCCTATTTCTTCCAATCAGTTACCGTAACAGTATCCTCGGATTAGTCCACAACCTCTAGCTTTAAAATTCTTTGTAGTTACATTTCATTCATTCATTCGTTCATTCATTCATTTATTCATCTATTCATCCATCCATCCATCCAATGGGTCTACAGCCCTTTATTGGGCCTTGGCTCTTCTTCAGTTTCCTAATCTATTTTACACAGACGGTAGGACTCCTCGGACGAGTGATCAGCCCGTCGCAAGGTCTCTACCTGAACACAGGACAACACAAACAGAGAATAAACGCATACACAGACATCGTTGCCTTGAGTGGGACTCGTACTCATAGTCCCACCGTTTGAGAGAGCGAAGACAGTTCGCGTCTTAGACCGCGCGGCCAACGTGATCAGCTTGCAGTTACATTATTCGCTGATAATTCTTTCCACCTCCGCAACAGAAACTGACAACGTCTTGACTTCCAGTTGCTATATTCGAAGTATTATAGACACACGGAGCCAAATTTGGAGTTACCCCACTCGAAGTAAGATAGGTTAATATACAGACTTGGATTGTGACTGTGAAAATACTGAAAAATGATTGGACACCTGTTGTCTTTGATTCCAGAACTTTTATCAGTTAAATACAAGATTTTGAGCCACACTGCCTGTGGTGTTATGGGATGTTGCACATGAGTGAAAAGTTACCCGAAAGTATTCCAAAGGATATTTTTGTTAGGAATTTCCACGAAATGCAGACGGATTGGCGTGTCGTGCCAACATTCCGCGCGTAAATGTCGCCTAGTTGCCACTTCCTCAGGAATGTTTTGACAGTCTCCCAAACTTGATGGTTCGTCCAGCCCTCAGACACAGAGATGGAAGTGGAATTAGTGGGAATGCAAAGAGTGGCTTAGGTTTATGCGATGGCACAGCAAGAGTGTCATATTCGAACTAGGTGTTCCGGTAAATATGCGGGAAACATAATTTCAAGCAGTTCTGGTCACTCAGGTCTATATTAATCCTTAGTTTCCTTAAATTATCTGGCCATTTTTTTTCATTTACTGGTTGTTTGATAAATTGGTGAATCTGCAAGTCACAATAGGGGATTAGCGACCCCGTCGTGGAGGGGGGGAAATGGAGGTGTTAGATTGTTCCGAATCAGATCAGAAGATTTCCCACGTTCATGTTGATTTTTTCGCTTTTTAAAACATTTCTTAATAGACTTTTATATTTTTCTAAGATCTCTCGCCATATGTAACTTGAAAACATTGTATTGAAAAGTGATAAAATAATATGGCGTATTTGCTCAAGGCAAGAACTGTGGAGCCAGAGAAACAGCCGTCGCTAGGTAATGCTCGCTCGCAACAATAGAGGAATTGTCACGATACGAGAAGTGACGCGTACAGCCGTTGCTATAAATCGATTTGGTAAGCACGTTTCCGCGGAGACGAATTCATGCAGTAATCTTGCTTTCTGTGCGGTCCGTGCCGAGGGATTTGTATCAGTTGAGTTCCGGAGTTGACAGTTGGCACAATAATTGAGAATAAATGGCAAGAAAGGAATTAGACTATGCAAGGAAGACATAGTGTGCCGCAGTGACAGTGAGACTGTTATAAGTCCGTTGCCACGATACGACTAGTGAAGGCTGAGAAGACTTAGCATGTCCTAGTGATATGTAAAGTGTGTAGACCAGCGATAGCGCTTTATTACTTGCAGTTGCGAGTGTTGCGTATAAGGTGTCAGTAAATCCAATCCAAACTCCGTATTGAAAAGGTAAAAAACTGTCGCTGTAAAAGGCTGTGGAGGCCCGTAGGGTTGTGAGACGTCGAGACTCATATTTTCTAGACAGTCGACTCACTGATGGCTGTGAGGTTGTCAGTCTTACACGCTGGCTGCCCTTTTACCTCCAGGAAGATTTCTGGTTCTCATTTCTGTTGGAGGCTGAGTCGACCCCAGCTAAAAGACTAGGTCAATTGAAAAATTTAACGACCTCATCGGGAATCGAACCTGCGAACTTCCTGCTTGTAGCATAATGTGTGGAAGGTAGTTAATGTAAAAGGTATCCCTGTGACATATCGTGGAGGCCCATAGGGTTGTGAGACGTCGAGGCTTCCACATTTTCTAGATAATCGGCTCACAGATGGCGGTGACGTCAGCCGTACGCCCAAGTTTAAATTTATTTTAATGTTAAGTATGAGTTAATAGACTGTATTGAACTGGCTCAGAATTGAGTCAGATGGCGGGCTTTTGTGAAAGCCGTATTGGACTTTAGTTTGCATGAAAGCAGGTAATTCTTTGTAAGTACTTTGTTAGTAGTACCCTGCACTGTGGCATAGTTAGAAGTACTGCACTGCACTGTGAACTTGCTACAAGGAATACTTTGTACTATGGGATTCATTCATTCATATTTCCTGTTGCTCCCACCTGGAGCAGAGGGCATCTGTGAAACGCTTCGTTTCACTTCAGTTTTTAATTTTATACACGGTCGATAGGACTCCTTGGACAGAGGATCAGCCCGTCGCAAGGCCTCTACCTGCACAGAACACAAACACAGAACAAATTTAGACAGACACTCATGCCTAGAATTGGATTCGAACCCACGACCCCAGTGTTCGAGCGGGCGAAGACAGTTCGTGCCTTAGACTGCGCGCCCACTGTGATGTACCATGGGATAAGTAATAAGTGATGGTGTTGGTGCGTGTTTTTGTGTTCGGGCCCTCAGCTTTGCCACAGACCTACGCACGAGTGCTGGATAAGAAGGGGCAGCTGCATTTGGTAGTGATATAAGAGTGCTGTCTGTTTTATGCTCGCGCCGTTTGACCTCTACAATTACTTCTCAGACTCTTAAGATGCGTCGTTAATGCGTGCTCATGCTTGGCGTTCTCATAGCTGTCTCTGTTATGTACTGTATATACTGCTGCTGCGAGGCGTATGGAGGCCCCATGATAACTGCTGTTTCTCTCCTCTTGCTCCCACTTCGGAGCATAGAGCTGATTTCTGAGTTTCATGATCATTTTTACAGACGGTAGGACTCCTTGAACGGGTGATCAGCTCGTCGCAAGGCCTCTACCTAAACACAGGGCATCACAAACACATAATAAACACATACACATACCAAACATCCATGCTTTATGTGGGCGTCGACCCCACGATTCCAGCTTCCAAGCGAGCGAAGTCAGTACATGCCTCAGACCGCTCGGCTACCATGACCGGAATAAAGGAAATTAAGGGATATTAATTATGCTTCTGGTGCATTGTTAAGCAGTGTAAGTACGTATCTCTAGTTGATCATCTTTGTCAAGAAAACCGATCGTAAGGTAAATTCCCTGTACTTAATTAAGCATCATGGCATGAAGACGTATGGGATATTGGAAGTACAGCTCCACCATTCTTGACCTTGACACCAGATGTAGCAGAATAGTAAGCTTCACGTCTCGGCTGCTTTACCCCCTTGGAAAGAGCCCTCATTACCGTTTAGATTGGAGGCTGAATGAGCTCCAGAGCCGGCCTGGGCGCTGTGAAGAAAACATCCCTCTTCCCTCTCGGAAATCGAACCCCGGTCGTACAGCCCATAGGCCTTCGCTATACCGACCAAGCTATCCCAGCTCCCGAAGAAAAGCAATGCGGGGTCCAAAATTGTAAAGATGATAATGAAGAAAAAAAACGTGTTCTTCAACTGCGTTAAAACCGGTTTTATTTTTTCAGTAACGAGTGATTCACTCCTTCATTTGAATGCCTGTACTTTTGTGCCCCTGTAATACCGAAGCAACGACGTAGCTTTGATAATACAGTGCCAAGTAACAGCTGCGTAAACAGGCGACAGCACAATAGCCGTTGCTAGGGAACAGCTCTGTGAACCCGTTTTCCCGGCAACCAGATAACACGCAGTGATGGAACAGACGTTTTCTTTGCTTTCCGTGCCTGGGTTATATAACGATGACTAGGACTACGAGTATACCGCCAGTCGTGAAGTAACTTTGACTTTGACTTTACCTCCACCGTAGCCATTCGAGTCGTAAGAGGCGACGAAAATGGAACCCAGTGCCTGGGGCTATAACCGGACCACTCTGTTCCTGGGGGATATAAATATGGGGACCTGAAGCTACAGGTGGGGGGAGTCTCAAATGTGAAACAGTAAAATATGGTCATGAGGCCCGCAGGACTCTGACCCGAGAATGACTGCGCTAGCGAGGACCAGCAGCAGTTGTAAACAATAGACTAGTCCTCTCGTCAGAGAGGGCGCTCCGCATTAACAAACCCACAGCTATCTGGCATTCTTCACTTCGTTGTTAGCGTAACCTAACTTTTGTAATGCAACCTGCTGGAACATTTTTGTGTCTAGTTTGACTGGGGAGTTTTGACGACTGCATTCTTTAACTTTGTTAATGTAATCCCGCCTTGGTAATGCAGCCTATTGTATCATTTTTGGGTGTAATATGACGATTAATGTTCTGACGACTGGATTTTTCATCCCTTTGTTACTGATATATGAGTGTAGTTAACGTTCAGTATTACAATGCAGAGGCCGCCTCTGTGGTCTAGTGGTCAGAGTTCCTGGCTACAGATCCAGATGTCCCGGGTTCGATTCCCGGCGCTACCAGATTTTCTGAAAAATAGTGGGTCTGGAACGGGGTCCACTCAGCCTCGTGAGGATAATTGAGGAGCTACTTGAAAGGAACAGCAACTGCTGCAGTCTAGAAAAACCGAAATGAATGGCCGTGGGGATTCGTTGCGCTGACCACGCGACATTCTGTATCCGCTAAAAGTGGGCACTAACTTCGCCGACAAGCGGCGGTCGCTC